CCTATTATGGCATTGTATGGGGAGGGGGTCGCGACCACCAAGAAATCGTGGTTGAGTCTAACCGCACAAGGCCATGTGTCGACTTCCACAGGTACTGTTATTTTCCCGGGGGGCCTGACTTCCTCTCCGTTGAAGCCCACCAGAGGAGTGCTCGCGGGCTTCCGCTTGCTTCTCTGCAACTGTAGCTGGTCAAATGCTGACTTGAAGAGGATGTCTGCCGAGCTGCCCGAATCCACAAGTACGCGCCTGACCTCGAAGTCGTTGATCCTTAGTTTTATGACCAGTGCGTCATTGTGGGGGTAGTGGACCCCTCACGCATTGTCTTCCGTGAAGAAGATCGGTTCTTCCGTCTTCGGCCTCTTTGGAGGGTTCTGGTCTTCTCGGGCTGCTTCGCGAACTGTCGTTCGGGCCGCTGCCGAAGTACAACCTGCTACCACCGAACCTCCCACTATCACATGGATGGTTCCCCGAACTGGCCTCTCTTCCAGAGGCTGTCGCTGCAACGGTTCGGCTGGTCTGCTGCTGGATTCGGGGGCATCCCTTCCGTGTTTCCCTTTCCGACATGCCTTACGGATGAGTCCCTCTATCTTGTCCCGGAGATTATTACACTATTCGGTACTATGACCGTGGTCTCTATGGAAACTACAGTACAAACTTTTATTTCTCTTGTTTGGATTCCCCTTTAGGCGAGGTGGCCACTTTACCTGTGGGGCATCTTTGATCGTCATCAAGATCTCGGTCTACCTCGTGTTTAACGGTGTGTAATCCATCCGAACTACTAAGGGAGCTCGGAACGGTTGGCTTGGCTTCGTCTCTCGGGCCGGGTTTTTTCTGTCGACTGGGTTAGAGGGCTCACCTTCCCTCTTCCTTTTCTCGATCCTGCTTTCGGTCCTTTGGTTGATCTCTTCCTCTGTTCTCATGAACTTATCCGCGAGCTTGAGGAATTTGGCCACGGTCGGGGGCTCATTAGCTACCATGTGCCATTTGAACTCCTTGTGTGTTACTCCTCTCTTGGCCGCCGCGAGCTGCACCGCAGGGTTTAATCGCGGTATCTGCAAGCACGCTTCATTGAACCACTTGATGTAGCCCCGGATGGATTCTCCTTTTCTCTGGACTACTTCAAAGATGCTTTCCTCGATTCTGGGGCACCGCTTGCTGGTGACAAAGTGTGTGGTGAGGACCTGCACGAACTGGGTCCAGCATCTTATCGACCCGGGGGCCAGGTTCCTGTACCAAGTGCGGGCTACCCCCCTGAAGGTGGTGGTGAAGGCCACACACATGCA